ATTAAGTTTAAACTTTTCATTTAAAATATGATTTTTCTTATCATAGAAGTAGTACATGCTAATTAATTGGAAAAATACAAGCCACACGGATGACTCGTACCCATAAATTCCTCTACCCAGATTCAGTGTCGCAGTTCTGTTTTTCTTTTTTAAAGATTTAGTTACGCATACAAGAATGGGGTACAGGCCAGAGCCATGGAGGAGGGTGAGAGGATTCCCCAGAGACAGAGCGGGGGGCAGACAGGCCGACTGACTGAAACACACTGCTGAGGGGGGCAGCAGAGGACAGCAGAGGCCTGCTGCGCCAGGAGAGGTCTCTCCCTGGCCGGGGATGGAACTCGCGCTGCCGTGGCTGTGGACTGTGGCGAGCTCGCAGAGCTGAGACGTGACTTGGGAGGCCCCACAGTTCTGTTTGCTGCAAGTTTCTATTTGTGTGTGTGGAGAGTTTCAACAGTTGGGAATAACATATGTATGTTTTGAATTCTGACATCTTACTTAACACTGAAGAGGCATTTTCTATGTCATTAGTTTTCAAAAATATTTTAAATATTTGTCTAGTGTTCATCCTATGCCAGAACTTAACCAATTTCATGATTAGACATTACGGGTGATTTCCTTTGTATTAGTATAAATACCACCCCACTGTGATAACCAACTTTTTACATGTCTTTCCATGTCTGTTTCCTGATGATACTTACTAGAAAGGGATATTTCTGAGTTAAGGTTCTTGATTCCTATTGCCAAGTTGCTTTCCAGAAAGTTGGTACCAGTTTACACTCCCACCAACAGCTTACGAGAGCTGGCATTAAATATTGAATGGAATTTCTCCTGTGAGGCTACAAAACAGTGTAGACTTGTTCTTTGGACAGGAGGGAGAGGAGAGCAAGTGCTTGGCGCAAGGTCTGGCCTTTAGGACCAGGCTGCAGAGCTCAGCACTGCACGTCAGCCTCAGCCATCTCAGTGCGAGTTCAATCCCCGGCCCAGAGCTGACCCACATGGTGCAGCAGACCTCTCCTGTCTCGCCCGCTGCTCCAGTCACGTCTCCATCCCGCAGCCCAAAGGGTCCTTTTGGGGCCTCCCTGATGGCCTAGAGGTTGAGTCTTAGCTTTGCCACTGCTGTGACCTGAGTTTCAATCCCAGCCAGGGAGTGACCCACAGAGCGCAGCAGACCTCTCCTGACCCGCCCGCTGCTCCCCTCAGCAGTGGACTTCGTCCATCTGCCTGTCCTGCTCCCCACTCTGTCTCTGGTGAATCCTTTCACTGCCCTGCACCTCTGGCCTGTACCCCAGTTCTGTATGCGTAAATAAATAAAAATCTTTTTTAAAAAATAGGCTCCAGAAGGACCATTAAAAAAAAAGATTGATTTAATTTTGCATAGAAGAACTGGGATATAGGCCAGACAGAGGTGCGGGGGGTGCGAGGATTCACCAGATAGAGTAGGGAGCAGAACAGGCAAATATACTGAATTATACTGCTGAGGGGAGCAGTGGGAGACAGGAGAGGTGTACTGTACTCGGTGGGTCACTCCCTGGCCGGGGATCGAACTCAGGTCACAGCAGTGACAATGCTAAGACTCAACCTCTAGGCCATCAGGGAGGCCCAGAAGGACCATTTGGGCTGCAGGATGGAGACGTGACTGGAGGGGTGGGATTCTGGGGGTGGACACTATAATGCAGGGTGGGTTACCACCAGTAGCTCCTGCGAGGACTAGGGAGGAGGCCTGGGTTTCTGGGTTGGGAGAAGGGAAAGGAAAGAGACGAGCTTTGCCTTGAGAGGGTGGCTGCGAGTGGGGGGTGCCAGGCCTACAGTGAACTGGTTGCACAATGTGAGTTTAAGATTGCTTCCACGGTTGGCTGTCGGCTCTTCTGGACCCTGAAGGCGAGGCCCAGGGGTGGACTGGGACCATGGGGCCAGAAAGAGCCATTCATGTAGGAGACTGCGCCGTGGGAGCCGGTCTGCCTTCAGGCCTGTGCCCTGACAGCTACCTGCTTGCCTCTCCCAGTCTCAGTCTCCTACCCACAGTGGGGCTAAAAAGCTGAGCAGAGAAGGGAGAGGACGTCCTGGGAAGGACCTCGGAGGTGTGTGGTCGCTCAAGCAGGGTCTGGATTTTGCAGAGTCTGCAGCTTGGGACTTCCCATATTTTTTCCAGAGGAGGAGCCTGAAGCCCCTTGACCATGCTTTTCCCTCAGGTACAACGCCCAGGAGTACTATGATCGGATTCCAGAGCTCCGGCAGATCATGGAGCAGCTAAGCAGTGGCTTCTTCTCCCCCAAGCAACCCGACCTGTTCAAGGACATTGTTAACATGCTCATGCACCATGACCGGTGAGCTGGCCTGCGGGGAGCCTGGGAGCAGGGCTGCTGGGCTGGAAGGGCACCGTGGGAAGCTGGGAAGGGTACTGGGCAATGGGGACGAGGCTCCTCATTCTCCAGGCGCCAGAAGTCCCCTGGGACAGGACTCCTGACTTCATGGTGCTCCCTGTGCTCCCATCCCCACCAGGTTTAAAGTCTTTGCAGATTATGAAGACTATATTAAATGCCAGGAGAAAGTCAGTGACCTGTACAAGGTGAGGGTTCCTGGGCCAGGGGTTGGTGGTCTTGTTTGGGGATGAGTATGGAGGTGGGGACCCCCTGCCCCACCCCCAGAGTGAATCCAGAACTCCCTTTTGGCTGGCAGAACCCAAGAGAATGGACACGGATGGTGATCAGGAACATAGCCACCTCGGGCAAATTCTCCAGTGACCGCACCATTGCCCAGTATGCAAGAGAAATCTGGGGTGTAGAGCCTTCCCGCCAGCGCCTGCCGGCCCCTGATGAGATCTGAGTCTCAGACCAGAACCCCAGCCAGGTGGAGTCCCTTGGCAACCCCTTGGGGGGGTGGTGGTGATGGTGGTACTGGAGTTGTATCGCTTCTAAACCTCTTCCTGGCACGCCAATATCTGCAGCCTGGTCTTGCTTGTGTCCTGAGTGACTGGGACACTGCTCCCATTCAGTCCTCCGGCTCCCTATCCTCTCCTATTTATGGGTCTCACCAGCTGCACCCACTCCTCAATAAATTGCTTTTCCTTGGGAGCCTCCTTAGTATTCTCTCTGTTGGGAAATATTTTTAGCTCTTGACGAGCATGACAGCAGCTGCGCAGTCACCGTGCCTTACCCGCACCGCGGCAGGTGCGCCCCTCGGAAGGGGGCGGCCCTTGGGGGCGGGACCCGGGACGCTCCAAGCTGCTTCCCGGAGTCGGCCTCCACGCCTCTCTTCCCAGTGCTGTGTCCATACTAGGTCAGCGGTCCGCCGGGCTGGGCGGGGGCGGGGCGTCCGGCTGGGTGGGGCCCTTTGGGGCGGCGAGCGGGGCTACGGAAGACCCACGCTCTCGGGGGCGGGACTCAGGAGGGGGAGGGGCCGGCGAATGGTTGGCGCGCTCTTGGCTCCGCCCCTCGCCCCGCCCCACTGCGGCGTTTAAGGGTCTCTGAGCAGGTGGCTCACTCGGAAGTCCGGGGGATGTTTGGGTGGGGGACAGCCACAAACCGTCCGGTTTCGGCCAGTGTTGCTCTCCTCACTTTGGGGAAACTGAGGACCAGAAAGGGCCTGTTTCTAGCCTTGTTATAAAAAATTGAGGTGTGGGAGCGGTCCCGCTTCCCCAAGCCGGAGGTTGGGAGGGACGAGTCTCAGAAAACAGGTTTGGGGCGGGCGGTTTCACAGTACATTTGAAAGCAAACGGCCGGAAATTGTTACCGGCTCTCCCAGGCCTAACGCGGGGACCCCAACCGCCTGTGGTGCCTCTAAGTTCCTCCCAGCCGGGGGCCCCAGGCGTCCAGTTCCCCAGGCCACGAAGAGCCTTGCAGCAGCCGCTTCCCAGCTGGCTCCGTAGAGAGCAGGCTTCCGGGACCCAGTCCCTCCAGTGTGAGCTGGGCCTCACCCCCAACACCCCCAGACCTCGCGGCCGTGTCTCTAGTAGCCGCATTTTCATTTCTCCCCGACAGGGCCCTTTCCCCCATATACTCCCATTTTATGCTAGCCCCTCCCCCATGCTGTCACCAGGACCCGCTGCCCCCGCACCCTCGATCTTCACCAGGTCGGTGCTCCGGCTGCCCGCAAGAAGACACGGGTTAACCCCGTGGAACGGTTTGTCTCGAAAACAGGAACCCGGGCGGGGGGGCCGGGGCGGCGCGCCCCTTCCCCACCGCAGTCTGCTTCCTGTCCCTCCCTTGTTTTCTCTGCCTAACGGAGGCATGCAGGGGGCCTAAGGGCGTCTGGGATGGGCGAGAGGGCTCCCCCCTCTACGCCCCGCACCTCCCGTCCTGCGCTGGCCCACCCTCTGCGCACCCAGTGGCGCAGCCCCCCGCTGGCGCCCCGCTCGGCAGGGGAGGGGTTAAGCTGCCGCAGGGACCGCGGCGTGCGGGGCGAGTGGAGCCCCCAGTGGGGGAGGCGCAGCCGGCGGC